GCAAATCAACTGCAGCACTGACAAGTTCATGCATTTACCCATTGCCCTGGAACTGCTCAGGGCAGCGAGGTTGGGTAATTTTTCTTGCCTCAAATTCAAACCAGTGTTGCTATATTAGGAGCAAATCTGCAAAAGCTGTGGGAGGAAGGGGAACGGCTCCGTGAGCAGAGCATCACACCAGCAGTTCTCCTGGTCACCCCATGCTGCTGCTCCCCGGCCCCCCGTGCTCCTGGACAAGGGCACGTGTTGATGACCAGCTCTTGTCCTCTGCTCCATCCCCTTCAGCGTGACTGTACCCCATGGGATGAATACAGCAAACCATGGTGAACGCTGGCTGGGCAGGGGCTAATATAAATTAGCCCGTAAAACCATGCCACTGCACCTTATATTATCTTTATGTCTATGTTGTCCCTCTCATCTCGACGTCGCTGATCATCTGAGTCAAAGTCTGCAACAACTTCCAGGCCAGGTTGGAGACAGAGTGAATCATAAAAATAATTTTGCATTGGCCTGCTCCTTGCATATTACTAACCTTAAATCCTTACTCAGCTGTAAGCAAGGTTTCCACATTTAAAAGGGGTGCTCTTTTTTTATCCCAGTATGCTTCGCAAGTAAGCCTTCCCCAGTTGACTCTGTTGGGAAATGAGGCCGTTGCGTAGCTGTGAGCATGCACCCAAATTGTGTTCACAACAGACTTTGGATTTAACAGCTCACAGAAAAAAAGAAATCACGAAGCGAAAACTGTTCTCCTGGAAAATGGAAAGCCAATTCCGAGGCAATCCAGAGAGTGAACGATGTGCTGGGAAGAGACAGTGACCACGAAGCCATCGGGGCTGCACAGGGACAGCGGGACGGCTTCGATTGCTCCGCGGAAAGAGTCTGCCTGGTGCATCTCGGCTTGTCTGCTTGGGGAGGGTCAGTCAGCGACTGGGGTTTCCCTGCGTGGGGATTAATTACAGCCTGAGCCACCAGCCCTGCATTTTGGAATGGGCACCGTCTTGGTGGAGAGGTTGTTATCCCTGAGGCAGGAGGGCTGTGCTGGGAGGACGCTCTGTGGTGTATTGGGACCACTGGGTTTGACTTGAACTTTGGGGCTGCTGTGGGGTGATGCTGGACCTGTTGCTTAAGGGCCAGCCAGATGATGCTGTGTATGGGGGGAGGGGAAGGTCACCCTATCAAATAACTCCCTTTTTGGGGTTATTCATCTGAGCAGCTGGCTGGAAGGTGGAGTGATCCCCCTTTTTAATGCAATATTTTCTTAAAATTTTTATTATTTTTAAGTACCCTACAAAAACAAACAAAACACCCTCCCGCTGGTTTGGGTGTGCTCTGCTGCGTGCACAGGGGATGCCACGCACCACTTCCCAGCAGTGATTTTGCAGCAATCTCCCGATTATGGGTGAAAAGGCTGAGGGGTGACCAGCACCCACCCTGGTGGAACCCCCAGGAGCAACGTTCCACTTCACAGAGGCTTTTTGGTGGACAACTGTCTGCCGGGATCTCCTTGCCAGTTTTCAATCCTTTACTGTGGGCTTTATTGATGCTCTTTCTCTGCCCACTGAAGCTTACATGCTTCTTGCTTGTGCCAATTTTCTCTTTTTTTTTTTTTTTTTTTTTTTTGTGGCTCTGTGAAATGGTCCAGCTGGACAAAACCCTGCTAAAAGGAGAAATCATTATCCAGCATCTCCCACTTTCAAGGCTGTGGGTCCTAGCAAGGTGTTGAGTTTCTTGGGGCCTTTTGAGTAGCTAAAGATGAGATTCCAACGCGCTTTACAGCAAGGAGTGACAGGAAGCAGGTTCTTCTGGTTAATTAAATGGCTGCTTTCCTGGGTTTTCTCTGAAGTCAAAATTGCAACTTGCTGCATCGCAATGCTTGGTCACCCACGGTGCGAGTCGCTGGAGGGCTGCGGTGGTGTCTGCAAGGATTTCCAGGGCTTCAGCTTCCTTCTGCCCTTTGGGACAGCCCTTCTCAGAGCCTGTGGCTGCCCAGGTTGTTCCTTGGCTTTCGGGGAAATTTGTCGGCAAAATGGTTTATAAGGAAGTCCCAAAACATCTGTGCTTCCAACCTTGACAGGGCTTTTCTCTTTGTGTGCAAGGGAGTCAAGAAGCCGGCAGCGGAGCGTGACCGGCTTGCAAAGGAAGGTTTTGCCTTCTGGTTTTTAGACCAGGACCAGCACAAAGCAGCCACGGTCCCCACGAGCTGTGGGACGGGAGCCCCTGCTACGGCCACTGAAGCCTCCCAGGGTGGTGGCAGAGGACACCACCCCCAGTGACGGAGCCGCGGAGGGAGATCAGCCGGCCCTGGGAGAAGCTCTCTCCCTCTCGCCCCAGGGTGGCTTAATTATAACCTCACTTTAGTAGCTCAGGGGCCCTTTGATGTGGGGAGTGCCCCAGCCCTCGTGCAGGTATCTCGCAGAGGAGATGTCTCCACATCAGCCAGCCGTCTAGACTCCCTGTGCGGAGAGGACCAGCTGGGAGGGTGTGATTCAGCTCGGCTCGCAGCCCACAGCTGCATCCCACCCAAGGTGACTCTTAATAAAGTAAGTGGCGATGAAATTGCAGCCCTGAACGGAAGCCACGGGGCTGCCAGACACACCCGGGGAACCCATCGGTGCCCCGGGCACCGGGCGAGCTCGGCACAGGCAGGGCTGGCAGGTTGCTCTGCCTCCGACGGCTGCTCCTGCTCCATCAACACTTCCACGGGCTCCCAAATTCAGTGCACAGGCCATTTTCCTCACGTCCCAAATTATCCCTTTGCACATCTTATGCAACGATTAGCAGTACCAGCCCGGTGCTGGCCAAGGGGGTGTGTTTGTCCCCCAATTCCCCGGGGCTGAACGTGGCCTTTGAGCTCTGCCAGCACCACCTCGGGCGTTTCTCTTCACCGCCAGCCAGGGACAAGCCGTGCCTGGGTTCTGCACAATTTGGGGTGAAACCAAGACTTAATGGCAGCATGGGTGTCACCAGAATAGCTGTTGGCAAGCAGTCAGAGTAATTAAAGTCCATTTAGGGGAAGGAGCTGCCTTTCCCATGGCAGGAGGCAGCAGCTTCCTGCACTCAGATAAAGTCAGGGAGGAAGGCATGGACATTGTCACAGATACGGGGACGCTGCTCGTTAGATGCCTTTGAGGGAAGAACCATTGTTTGTTCAGTTAACTGAAAATAAAGGACCATTTCTTGGGGAGATGTGAGTTAATGGCATCACTAGTCTGTAAGGACATCAGCTGTATGGTCAACGGAGCTCCTCTGGCAGCGAGCAAGGAGGAGTCCTGACAGCACCGGTGAGGGTATCCAACACAGGGACATGATGGCAAATGAAAAATAAATTAAGAAACTGTGTCCTGGGTGAGCTCCCTGTTAGGGTATGCATTTTTTCTGTGTGCTGCAGAGGCCCCAGCGCACTGCAGCTTTGCAAGGTCTCCCATCACCAGGGAGCATGGTCCTGCTCCCTTGGGTACCTCCTTTTTTGGCTTTCCCATCTCCCTAAACCCCTGTCTTTGGGCATCTCTGCTGGTGTCTGGCAACCATAGAGTCTCTGGGTTGGGGTGTGCCACGCAAATTCCCTGCCCATCTGGGTGCTGCTCCCCTGAAATAACTGGCAGGATTGGACACCCCACCAAGCTCCTGGGGGGCAGAGAGGAGCTTACAAAAGACACTGGGCTACCGAGGCTTAGCTGCTCTCTTGATGTTCTCCAGGTTCTCTGGATGAGTGTCTGGGAGCTGCTTCCAGACTGTGTTGAGGTGGAGAGCTGGTGTGGGGGCCAGATGCAAACCTCACTGGTACCAGGCTGGGGAGATCTAAGTATCCAGAAGATGAAGCTCAATTTGGAGGGTCCAAGGCCAAGAGGTGGAGGATCTTTGGTGCTCTGCACATGCACCCACACCCTCAGGCCTGTTTCTGGACATGAAAAATATACCTGACCTAGGTCTAATGTTGGTGGTGTCCTCCTCAGCCTCTCAGGCCAGTGTAGCAACTCCTCCATGGCCACCACCATGCCAGGGGATATTTTGGAGGCCCCCATTTCTCAGCAGAGCAGAAGAAGGGCTGATAATTTGGCCAGTGACAAACAACATGCTCCCCATATCCAGAGAAGGGGCAGACTGGAGTCCCTCTACAGCTGGCTCCTGCACTCGGCGGCACCTTCCCTACTTGCTTGGTGCTTTTCCCACTTTTGATCTTAAGAGACAAATAAAAACACCCAACGAGCAAATGACACCATTCCTTCCCAGCCCTTCCCCACCATCTGCAGCACGGTGAGGGCACATAACTGCTCCCCTGCAGGTCCTGCAACCATGATCTTCGGGAAACTGCCGCGGCCGGAGGCGAAGACCGAGGCTGAGCTGCTATTTCTTCCCCCAGTCTCGGTGGGCTTTGGGTCTGGTGTCCCTTGGCCACGTGCCTTCTGCAGACCGGCCTTGCAAGAGAGACCAAACCCAAGTAGACTCTGGCTTTCCACGACTGCCAGGCTTTTCCTGGGCAAAGGGCTCCATTTTCCTCCCAGCCTGCCCTCGGAGGGTTGGCTCAACCCAGATCCTGACTTCTGTCTCCCACCACTCGCCGCTCCCCCGATAAAAAGCCACGTGAAATTTATCTTGCCGTCTTTCATTAAAATAAACCAATTAAGCAGTGCTCAGGAACCTCTGATCTGGGCCAGCTTGGTCAGCCGGCGTATTCATGTTTCCAAAGCATCTTCTCACTCTGCTTACCCTCACATCAAAGAGAGCCGGGGAGCAGCCCCGTCCTTGGAGCGCTTCGGCAAAGTGTGTCAGGAGATTTGGGAAACAGCTGATTTAATGCCGAGGAAATTAGTAACCAAATGAGTTCTTAGCCAAATGGCTCCTCTTCTTGATCTTGGGAAAAGTGGTGTTTAAATTCTCTATCTCATGGTTTTAGACTCAGGAAATGTGATTACACATCTGTCATTATTTTACTCTTCTGTGTTGATGGCTCATATTAAACAAACCACATTCCTGCATTGCTTAGTAATCTCTGCTGTTCCCTTTCCTCGCTGAGGAGACAAGTCCCAGCTTGACATCAATATACCTGTTGATCAGAGCTCCAGTGTTAACCAACCGGCAGAGCTCTGTAGACACCAGCTGCGGGCAGCGTTCGCACCACCGGCCACTTTTCTCCTACTCGCCGCAACTTTGCATCCCCCTTTTTTCCTAACCATCGTTTGGCCGAAGAGCGGGAAGAGCTGGGAGAGATCCACACACCTCTGAGATCCATGTGTTTCTCAGAAAGGTGCTCGAGTCTTCCCCCGTCTTCCACCGAGCAGGTAAGAACATGCGCTTTGGGGTTGGACCGCAGTCAAAAAAGGGTAGGTCCCTCCAAGCAGAGCACAATTCCCAGGGATCCTGGTGCCTCACCAGCCCGGGAGGACACGAAGAGCCCTGCACTCCCACCGGCTCCCACGGGATGGGCTCCCACCAGCTGCACAGGAGGAACCTGCCTTGAAGCGTCCCACCTCTGCAGGGACGCTGAGTTTTTTTCTCTTGGTGGCTTTATCTTCCAGCTCTGCCGAGATAACCCCGAGCTCGCCATGGAGATGCTGGAGGAACCCGACTTGTAGATGTTCCCAGCACCAGGTAGGAAAACGAGTGCCTGTTTTTAATGGTGTTGGGCCGCGGAAGGGAAAGGAAAGGTGGTGCAGACGGTGACGTGGTGCTGGAGGGGCCATCTTAGGTGGCTCCTAGCTGAGACGTGGGGCTGCAGTGTTGACTTAGAAGTGCATTTCCATGTGTTTTACCTGTGGTTTGTGAACGGTTGTAAATGCCTTTCAGCTGCTGGAAGCTCAGCAGGGGATCTCAGGGCAATCATGGTGTTATCAAGCTTTGTCTTCTCCTGGTGAGGACACAGTTGGCCAAGCGTTGGCAGCCGTGCCCCTCGGGGCCGCGTTTTCCTTTATCACAGCATTTTGGCACGAGGGCCGTGCCAGGAACAGTGCAGGTCCCTGGGGATGCTTGTGGAGGACGGTGCTGTCTCGGGAAAACCCCGAGCTCCCAGTGCAATGCCGTTCGGCTGGATCTGCTCGGTTTTCCCTCAGCCTTCGTTGTGCGATCCCCAGCAGTTGCCTGCGCCAAGGCCTAAATTTCTCCTGTCCTGTCAGGTGCCAGAGGGGTGGAGGGGATGTGCTCCCGGGCCACAAGCCCACCACGTTTGTGCTGGGACTGATTTCCGTGGGAGAAGTGAGGCTGGTGCAGCATCACCCTCTTCTCGGCAAGGTGCCTTGGAGACGAATCCATTTGGTTTAAAATAACTCCTTTTGTTCTCCGCCATGGGAGATCCCAGAGCATTTTTCTCCATCAACCCCTACAGGAGAAGAAGGGAAGGTCCCGGTAAAGGGGGACCGAAACGAAATGGTGGTGGGAGTGGGAGGGCAAAGCTCAGCGTGGGCGAGGGGACCACTCCTTGCCGTGGGAGGCTGGGTGGATGGCCTGGGGGCCGCCGGAGGATTGCCGTCCCTGGGCACCTCTGCTCCCACCCGCTGCACCCCGGCAGCTGGGAAGAAGCAGATTCCCTTGGTGCAAGGCACCGGGGGCTTGCTCTTCCCCCACCCACCCACCCAAGGGTGCTTTGGGGAGTGGGTGCAGCGCTCTGCCTTAGGGTCAAGGCGGGGGTGATGGCGGGTCCCTGGTTGCTGCTAACAGCTCAGGCACGCGCTAGAAATGAGCTGGGGTTGCAGGTTGCTGGATTATCAAGCTGCGTGTAGCTTTGAGGTTTTTTTATATACATGGCAGCCGTGCCTTGGGTGTTTTTGGCAGGCCCTCGGGATTGCCCAAACCATCATGACATAGAGAGCCGATGCTCAGACTTCCTTCTGGCCATGGGTATCGGTAGACTGGGTGTCTTGTTGACCACACCATTGCGATTTCAACCCCGCCTTGAAAGACTGGTGGCAATGGGGGATTGTCCTGGCTGCCCCATGGGGACCCCCCCTTGGGCAGGGGGGCTTGCCTGGACACGGTGCTGGGGCCAGGGCAAAGGATGGGGCACCCCACGGTGACCCAGCAGTGGCAAGGAAGGGATTCCCCCAGCGCAGTCCTGACCCACTCTCCATGGCTGCCCAGGAGCCAGTGCCACACTGTGCCAGACCTAGGGCAAGATGAGGTCTTCCTTGAGCTCTTGGGTCATCTAAAAAAAGCCTGAATGAGGAACATGCTGTTTCTTCTGGCCTGGTTTCACCCAGGGACCCCATGGGGAGGAGGCAGCAGCATGGTGCTGGGGGGTGCGTTGGGTCACCCAGTTTGGGGACGGGAGTTTAGGAGCACTTTATGGCTCACCTTATTGCTTCTTTGAAGGCACCTGCGCGGTGTGAGGTTGGCGCCGATGTTGGAAAACTCCTTCGGACCCGGCGAAACACGGGGCCGGGCGCTCTCAGTGGGCAGAGCAGCTCGAGAGGAACGCCTGTAGGACGGCTCTTTTTAAACAATTAAGAGCTTCTCCGGCTCATTTCCTTCCATGCCTTCACAGAGGAAATCATCTTAATTAGCAGTCTTAGTGAATAATTAATTTCCTCAAAATTTTCTGATAGCTTCTTTATAGCGAGAGGAGGGCCCGAGCTGTTCAGGTAAGGCACAAGCTGCCGCCGAGCAGCTCTCGGCACGGCCACGGCTCTGCCTGTCAGCCAGTGCCCCCAGACCCCGAGACCCATTTGCTCCCTTATGGGTGCTGGAAAAGGCTGAAAAAATGGTGTGAGAAGGAACCAGGGTCATGGAGCTGTTTTCCAAGTGGTTTTCCGTCCCCTGCATCCCATGGAGATAAATGCAGCGTATCGATGCCTTAGCAGAGCACGGACATGTGGCCCTAAATCCTGCTGCCCTCCTTGATTAGCCAGTTTATAGACAGGGCTTCGAGTCTCCCTAGCCGTAAAAATCAGGTTTATTTTCAGCTTTGCCTCTCTGCTTTTAATAACAGGAGGGTCTGCTGTTGTTTAGACCTGAGCAGAGAGACTTTAATTACTACTTCTGTGCCGAGAAGGATGTAAATATGGTCTCGGGGAAGCAGCGAGGGTTATTAAAGCGAAAAGGCTGTAATTGCTGTGCCCCTCCCTCTCCATCAGATTTTCCTCTCTCTCCGGTTTGGAGAGGACCGGCTGATCCAGTCAGGCTGTCTCTGGCCATGGGTTGCAGGCTCTTCCCCGGGCAGCCCGCTGGCAGCACCCACCCCAGTTAGGGCTTCTATCAGCCCAGCAAGGATGGAATTGCCTTTATCCAGGCAGGAAAACGCCGTAGGATCCCTGGGTTTTTGGCATGGCTGCCCGGAGATGTTTGCAGTTTGAGGAGCAGGATAAGTGTTTTGGGTGGGTTTTCCTTGGGGAGATCCTTTTGCAGTTAAAGAAAATTCCAGCCCAGCTGTAAACAGCCTCTCTTGGATGCAAACAGTCTCATGTCTTTTTTTTTTTTTTTTTTTTTAAACTCATATCTTTGATTTCATTTAATAATGGATGAATTATCAGAAATATGTGCTGGCAGGGAGCCCGGGTTTTGTCAGGAGGTGAAAGACTTCAGTCTTTAAGTGGTTGAAAATATTTTTTAAAAAAAAAAGAGAGCGAGAACAAAATTAAAAAAAAAAAAAAAATAAAGTAAGTTTGTGCCAAAGCCTCCGGGAGTGGGAAAAAACCAACTCGACTGCACAACATTTTTTTTCCTCCCTTTTTCTTCATGCCTGTGCAGAGGGCAGGATTTCTCTCACCTAACTCGGCTGCCTCAAACCCAGCGTCAGCTAAACCCAGTCCCCAGTGGGTTGGAGCGGGGAGATGGGAGCTCTGCCCCCTCCAAGGAGACCCGTCTCCTCTGAAACCTCCAGCACAGCCCCTCAGGAAAGGGGGTGCAGATTGGTGACGCCCCCCCCCCCCCCCCCAGCCTTGAGGGATGCTCTTGGCCGCCTCTAAACCCGCACCCCTCTCCTTGCCACGCGCCCAAATAGCGCGTCCCCCTGCCATGCCCACCGGGGCAGCAGCACCCCGGGGGGCAGGGAGTGGGTGGCGAGAGGGACCTTCACCCCTCGGCTGGAGCCTGGGGGGGGGGGGGGGTGTGAAGCAATCGCACCCAGTCATCGGGCAGGAACGGGGCGAAGCCGGGGCGCAGGGGAGCGGAGGGGAAGGCAGAGCCTCCCCGCCGGCGTGCACCGACATGCCGGGCGGCACCGGGGCTGCGTCCCCGCCGGGTGCCCCGCTCGGTAAAGTGGGCAGGGTTCAATCCATCCCTTCAAAGCCATCTTTTTGGTCATACCGCTGGCTCTGGATGCATTTGCCAGCTTCAGGGTCGCTATTTGGGATCCCCACGGCGGCGGTCACGGCATCTTCTCCCACGGCGGCAGTGGCTTTGGCTGGGCGGGGGGGGGGGGGTGGATTTCCCACCCACCCTGCTCTTGGCCAGTTTTAAGGTGAAAATAGGGGGGCATCCAAAAGGCCTGGCTCCATCCGAGCTGCTTGCTCCTGCCGGCGAATCTGGCTTCGTTTCCCTCGAGAAAACGACTTCTCCCCTGCAAAGGAAGCGGCGCCTGGGCGAGGCGGGTCCCCGCGGGGATGCTCGGGCCCCGGCAGGTTTGGGTTGGGTGCCCGCAGCCCGGCCGCGTGGCCGGGGCAGGAGATGCACCCACGCCAGATTTCAACCCACTCTTTGCAGACTGAGTCAGAGTGAGTCAGCCCTCTGGCTCGCTCTCCTGCTGCCCCCGAGCCAACCCAGCACATTTACTAGTTAATTAGTTTTCATTTCCTCCTCCTCGCTTTCCTTCCCTTTGCAGGGAGCCCTCTCCCTCGTCTCACCTGCCCCTCTCTCAAAGCAAAGAGGCAAAGCAAACCCCCGTGCTCAGGGGTCCTACACCCCACAAGCACCCCCAGCACCCCCTCCCGAAAGCATCACCCTTGGGCTTGGCTTCCCACAGAGAGGCCACGGGACACCAGCTCTTGGTCCCGTGTCCATGTGGTAGGTGACAGGAGGGACCCACGCTGCTCCGAGCAGCTTCCTGGGGTCTCTGCCAGCCTTTTCCCCTCTGAGACCCACTTTTAGTCCTTCGAAGAACCCCAACAACATCAGGTTTTAAGTTGCTTTTTCTGGCCATTATTTTCTGGCCCTTCTCAGCACGCCTATTTTCCAGCACGAGGATGCTGGCCGAGGAGCCGGTGTGCCCTGTCATGCAGGAAGAGTGCAGGCTGTTATTTTGGTGTCCCGACGAGTTATTAGCAGAGAGGGACGTGTGTTAAGGATTGCAGGGAAGAGGAGGAATGCTCAGTGGCTTTGCAAACAGCTTGTCCGCAGGGCTGGTTTCACTCCATTTCCATGCTCTTGTCTGCTTTCGAGGGGGGGTTATCCCTGGGGAAGTGGCTGAGCAGGGCTGTCACCCATGTGCTGGGTCCCACAGACAGGGCAGGTGCCTGGCTGAGCCCTGCACGTCGGCCAGCCCCGGCCTCCCCGTGAAAACCTGGGCTTTAGCTAAAAACCTGATAAAACCCAGGGTTGGTTAAAAAAAAAAAAAAATGCAAAAAAGCCCCTCCGGCTGCTGGAGGAGAGGGTCTGTCCCCTGTGGGGAGGGGGATGTGGATGGGGATAAGGATGGGGGGTGGGGATTGGGAAGGGGAATAAAG